TGATCTGGGAGATCATCTAACTGAAATGGCTCCTCCAAGAAGTAATCCTGATGAAAGAAAAAAATGGATGATGGCGGATGATAGGTTGTTCAATCAAATTCAGAATACCCTGGATCCTTCTATTGATAGTATCATTACTCATTGTGATACTGTCAAAGAAATGTGGAATACTTGGAGTCTATGTATGCCAGTAAACAAGATCTCTCTTATGTTCATCAATTACTGGTGCACTACTATAGACCGGAGATGAGGGATCAGACGCTGTTTCAATACTATAATGAATGTAAACAGATTTTTGAGGAAAAGCGGTCCCGATTCCCTATTACTGCTGATGTTAAGAGTATGCAAGAACAAGAGGAGCGAACATTTGTTCATGGTGTTTTGGCTGGGCTTGGTCCACAATATGAGTTATCAAGGAGTCAAATATTGTCTGGTGGGACCCTTCCTAGTTTTTCTGACCTCTATGGACGTCTCCTTCCAGTGTGCAAAGATGGAGAATCCAGAATGATGAACTCAATTGATACTGCTGCCTTAGTCAGTGATGTGAGCCATGGTAAAAGGACCAATTCAGTCACTACTGAAGGGACTCGTAATTCTTCTCGCACATGTTATCACTGTGGAGCTGAGGGTCATGTGAAGAAGAATTGCTGGAAATTACATGGTCGTCCACCACAGACTTCTGGACAGTTTCCTCCCAGGCGTGTTGCTAATACGGTTATCCAGGATGGTATCCTACCAACTCCTTCCACTGTTACTATCTCAGTCGATGAATATGCTCGGCTACAACAACTTTCTCTCACAGCCTCATCTGCCACCACACAAGTTGATACAGGTAATCCAGCTGCATGCCTCTCTACATCATCACGTAATTGGGTGATCGATTCTGGCGCAACGGACCATATGACTGGTAATGAAAGTATTTTGGATTCATTTACCTCTTCTGCTAACCAGTCTCATGTTACTTTAGCAAATGGATCAACCGCATCTGTCAATGGCCTTGGAACAACAACTCTTTCTCCAAACCTTTCTCTATCTTCTGTTCTATATTTATCTCAATTTCCGTTTAATTTAATCTCAGTCAGTCAGATTACTAAAGCCCTAAACTGCTGTGTTATTTTCTTTCCCACTCATTGTCTTTTTCAGAATCTTGGGACGAAGCAGATTATTGGTAAAGGTAGACTGGTTAATGGCTTATATGTTTTTGAATCCTTGGTGCCGAGATCAGTTGCATGCACAAGTTCGTCTCTGTTGAAAGTTCACTGTCAATTTGGTCATCCGTCTCTTTCTGTACTACAAAAAATGTGTCCGAGTCTATCACGGGAGTCTGTTTTGGAGTGTGAAGCATGTCAGTTTGCTAAGCATCATAGAACAAATTTCCCTCCTCGAATAAATAAAAGTGTTGAGTCTAGTTTTGATTTAGTTCACACTGATGTGTGGGGTCCTTGTCCTGTCGTTTCCAAACTTGGTCATCGTTATTTTGTTACATTTGTGGATGATTTTTCACGGGTTACTTGGCTTTATCCTTTGAAATCCCGATCAGATGTGTTTACTGCATTTTGTACCTTTCATGCTGAAATTCAAACTCAATTTAATAAGAATATACGCATTCTGAGAAGTGATAATGCTAAAGACTATCTATCTAGCACTTTTCAGACTTACTTATCTCGCCATGGGATTTTACACCACACTTCTTGTCCCTATACACCTCAACAAAATGGTGTAGCTGAACGAAAGAATCGTCACCTACTAGAAGTAGCTCGAGCCTTAATATTTCACATGGGGGTTCCTAAACCATTTTGGGTAGACGCTGTTTCCACTGCGTGTTACCTTATCAATCGTATGCCTTCCTCTGTTCTTAATGGTCAGATTCCGTACTCCGTTTTATTCCCCTCTCAGTCCTTGTTCTCTCTTGTGCCTCGTGTGTTTGGTTGCACATGCTTTGTCCAGGATATGCGTTCCCAGGTCTCAAAACTTGATCCTAAATCAATCAAGTGTGTTTTTCTGGGTTATTCCCGGTTACAAAAAGGATATCGATGTTATTCTCCTTCATTGGGACGGTATATTATCTCTCCAGATGTCACATTTTTTGAAGAAACACCCTTCTTTCAGCATAGTTCATCTTCATCATCTTCTTTGGAACTCTCTAATGATGAGTTTCTAGTCTATACCACCAGCCAGCTAGAATCTGTCCCCCCCAATCAGACTTCTCCATCAACTTTCCTTCCTCCTCCACCTCCTCCACCTCCTCCCCTTAAAGTTTACTCTCGTCGTGTGCGCCATGTGACTACGGCACCTACTATGGCTACCGGTGTACCGCTGCCATCTTCTGCTTCGCCTCCAGATTCTGCTCCCTCCGACCTTGATCTCCCAATCGCCCTCCGAAAAGGTACTCGTACTTGTACTTATCATGTTTCTTCCTTTGTTACTTATAATACATTGTCATCTTCTTCCAAGAGCTTTATTGCTTCTTTAGATTCTATTGTTGTTCCTTCAACTGTTTCTGAGGCCTTGACTCATCCTGGTTGGCAAGAGGCAATGCGAGAGGAGATAATGGCTCTCGACCAGAACCACACATGGGACCTTGTATATCTTCCACCCGATAAGAAAGCTATTGGGTGTAAATGGGTGTTCACTTCAAAATGAATCCTGATGGTTCGGTTGCTCGTTTAAAGGCACGGTTAGTAGCTAAGGGTTATGCTCAAGCATATGGTATAGATTACTTTGACACCTTCTCTCCTGTTGCCAAACTTACATCCATTCGATTGTTTATCTCTTTGGCTGCTACTTACAATTGGACACTCCATCAACTTGATATTAAAAATGCCTTTTTGAATGGTGACCTTAGCGAGGAAGTGTACATGGAGCAACCACCAGGGTTTCTTGCTCGGGGGGAGTCTGGAAAGGTATGTAAATTAAGGAAATCGTTGTATGTTGATGACATCGTGATCACTGGCAGTGATGCGAGTCGTATTTTGAAACTGAAAGCTTTCCTTTCTACTTGCTTTCAGACCAAAGATCTTGGGCCCTTGAAGTACTTCTTAGGGATAGAAGTCTCACGTAGTAACAAGGGAATTTACTTGTCTCAAAAAAAATATTGCCTAGATGTGCTAAATCATGCAGGTTTGGTTGAGGCAAAACCGTGTGATGCTCCGATGATCCCAAATGTAAAGTTAACAGCTGATGAAGGCGACTTGCTGGAAAATCCTGAGGTATACCGAAGGATTGTTGGGAAACTGAATTATTTGACTATCACCCGGCCTGATATTGCTTTCCCGGTTAGTGTGGTCAGTCAGTTTCTATCCACTCCACGAACATCACACTGGGATGCAGTTACTCATATCCTAAGATACTTGAAGGGGGCTCCAGGGCGTGGGATACTATATCAAAACCACGGACATCATGTTATTGAAGGGTTTACTGATGCGGATTATGCTGGAAACCCTAATGACCGACATTCCACCACTGGTTACTGTGTCTTTGTTGGAGGAAACCTTGTATCTTGGAAAAGTAAGAAGCAAAATGTTGTTTCTAGATCAAGTGCAGAATCTGAATATCGAGCTATGGCACAGGCTACATGTGAGCTGGTTTGGCTTCAGCATTTGCTTGGTGAACTTGGATTTACTCAAACAGAACCCATGAGATTATGGTGTCATAATCAAGCGGCTATCCATATAGCAAATAATCCTGTTTTTCATGAAAGAACAAAACACATCGAAGTTGATTGTCATTTTACTCGAGAAAAGGTAGAAGATGGTACAATTTGCACTTCACACATCAAAACAGGAAACCAACTGGCAGATGTGTTCACCAAGGCTCTACCGGGGACACGTATCAATTTCATCTGTACCAAGCTGGGCATGATTAATATCTATGCTCCAGCTTGAGGGGGAGTGTTAGAATATACATATTTAATAGTCAATATATTCTATGTATATATATGGTAGCTAATATATTCTCTGCGATAGACTAAATATTCTAGGTAAATCTGACAGATTTAGTTTCCTTTTTGTATTCCCTAGCTTGTATGTATTTATACTGGCCATACCTAATGATAATGAAGTGTGATTTCATTGCATCTTTAATTCTTATTACTCAGTTTACAGTTAGCATTAACTCAGATCCTAATTTCTAGGAGTTAGTTCACTGTGATGAATCCTATTTATACTGCAGTTCTGAATGAGAATTATCATTCCGCCTAAATTTGTTATGCTCATAATATGAAATGTGATTAATAGTAAAAGTTGGTGTGTTTGCAAAGAAAAGTGATTTTGATAAAATAAAAGTTAGAGTTTGCTAAAAAGCACTTTTTGTGTAATAAAAAAAGTGAAAAGCAGTTCAAAGCACCTCTCCACTTGCTTCTAGCTTTCAGTTTTAAAGTGCTTGATTTAAGCAGATGCAGTTTCTTGAAAACGCTATGAATAACTTTTTTAAAGCTAAAAAGTTAAAAGAACTTTATTAAGCAATGGAAAACACTCCCTTATTCACTTTAGGGTGTATCAACTCTTTGCAAAACTAATAAGTCTATTACACATCCACAAAAATCATCAGTGTTTGTTGCAATAACATATGGAAAATTTTCCAAAATAGGAGTACAAACGTTTGAGAATTCCAAAATAGGGATGTCATATTTTTATTCTCTAAATAGGAGTAATTATTGTCATGCTTGGAAAATATTGTCATGTTTAAAGTTTGGTACTGCCAAAATATGGTTGTAATTACTCCTATTTAGGGAATAAAAACATTACAGTCCAATTTTGGAATACACAAACATCTTTAGTCCTATTTAGGGCAATTTCCCATTACATATCCATTAATCATAAATAACCAGGAAAAACTCATAAGAATACATCATTCTATAATTTATCCATATTTTACCAAAACTGTGTCTTCTAGTAAGTGCGGATGAATTACTAGATTTCATGAGCAGAAAATGCCATTACAGGTCATCCTCCAGTTCATAATGTTTATACAACATTTCACATTTGTTAAAAAATTCATACCAGCAGAGCTGTTATTTTTTATTGGAGTCCTTGCTTGAGGTTCTATGAGGCTGTGAACATGTCAGTAAGTCCTGCACTCCTGCTAACTGTAGGTTAAGTTAACCCCTAACACATTCTAGCATTTTGTCCTCATTTAATCACACCATAAGTTGCAATAAAATTTCCAGTTAAATGGATCTTCTTGGGTCTTCCTTGTTTGATGCTGGACCAATCTCTCAATTTGTAATCGAAAAGTGGTAGGATAAGAGCTGCTATCAGAATCCACATAGTATATTTGAATTACCACTCACCCACGCCTTACCTACCGCTTTTGTTGTCGATGTCACAAAAAATACAAGTGGGTTAGAAATGAGTCATTTGATATCTATGTGTTCCCATATTTGGCCTTTATGTAATCTGAGGCAATGTCTACAATTTGTCAAAGTTTGGTGCACAATTTAGAGAACAAGATTTGAGTAGTTTATACTTTATAAACTAACCAGAAGTACAGCACTTCCTATTGCCATCAGTGGGTCCAGATATTGAGGGTCAAGTATTTCAATAGTTAGAACTTAGAAGAGATGATTGTGTGAATTGATTACATGGAAGTTGGATTTGGGAGATAACTGAGAAGTTGAAGTTGAATTTGTCAAAGTTTGGTGCGCAATAGATAATTGAGAAACATGACTTGATGACTGCAAGCAGATCACTGGAAGTTGCATTTGGGAGATGTAACTTCAGTTTCATGTGATTCAGATGGAAACCCAACGGCAGCACTCACTATAGTTTATGTTGGATTTTAATTAACTAATGAATACAGTACGACTTTGTAAGGCTTCTAAAGCAAATATTGACTAATGGCCCAATCAATCACGGATGATATCTAATGAATGACTCCATATGTCTAACACCTAATACCAGAAAAGGAATTCAATCCGAATCTTAAGTGTAGTTCAGACCAAAGCAATTAAAGCATTCAAAAGAACGCAGTACTACTGGACAATTGTTCTTGAACAGTAACAAACAATAGCTCAATAGGCTGTGGAGAAGTAATATGAGGCCCCCTTTACAAACTCATATATAAAAGTAGAATGCAGTAATACGAGAAAGAAATCAAGATTCAAGAGAGAGGAAGAGGTTCCTGGTTTTGCAACAATAAAACGCTATCTATCAAGACAAAAATGACCATACTCAATGTTGGGTAAAATCCAATCGCCTTTCACACATGAGCAATTATGCAAGCAAAAACATATACATTAAATAAATGTAAACAATATTCCGAGGCCCAAGCTCAGAGGGGTGTTTGGATCTGATTCTAAAAATGCTTTTGCTCCCTGCGAAGGAGCAGAAGTAGAAGTTGGAATGTTTGGGTGAAAGTGCAAAAGTGATTCTGGTGCTCTAATTTACTGCTGGGATCAGTTTTTTTAGAAACTCGGGGTGACCACCCTCCGAAAATTCTGATTCTGCTTCTGCTTTAAAAAAGAAGCAAAAGCAGAATCAGTTCCAAACAATCCTGAATGAGCATCCTAGAAAAATACTACATATCAAATAATTGTATCCGAAAGGAAGACTGACAAAATGATATCTACAATTGCATAAATTGCAGAGCGGAAAGGAAAGAACAGTATACAAATTACAGAGCATCGCACAGGGGAAAGGCTACCTTTTTGCAAGTGAGAGGCGATGCTAAGAAGTAGACGCAATCAGTGCTCAGCTTCTGCAATTCTTCCTCCATTTTCCCAAGAGAGATCACTCAACATACATTACAAATGGATTCGAACCATTGCCGCCGATATGCGTTCGTAAAAACAGAGTATGATGTATGCGAAATGCGTGAAATATGCGCAAGGTGGCCAGGTGGGGTGGGGTGGGGGGGAGTTAAGCTGTTCACGAAGAGAAGAGAGAGGGAATGGCTGGGGTTTAGCCTTTCACTCCCGATTCACGAAACACGCTTCAAAGCATTTGTATTAGAACTGTGAAAATGTGAAATGGCAGTCGCAGCAAGCCAGCACTCCTGCGGTGGTGACCAGAGATGGAAGTGGTTTTAGTGTGGTCAGGGACGGATGAATATAGCTGCTGGATTTCCGATTATAAATGATTGGTTCGTCAGTTCGGGTTTTCATTCCAAGATCAACAACAAATTTAGTGCGAGTTTTGCTTTGTGTATAGTCAGGTTATATGCTTGGTTTGTAACTCCAAAAAATGAATTGTGTGTACGGACTATTCGATATTACATACGATTCCTTTTATTAAATTTATTGATAATTGTGTGTACACAGACAATTACACTTATACCGTTGTACGTGTAACTCAGAGTGTGCACGAATCAAAATTAATTTAGAATACAAAAACAAAAAGTTTACCCTAGCCCACACGCTACTACACACTATAAAAAATAAAAATATTACCATTTTTACCCTTGCCCCACGTGTGAAGACAACTGAGCCTTCCTCTCTTCTCTTCTCTCTTCTGTGTCTCATTTTTTCGTTCTTTCTTCCACAACAAGCAACCGAAGTTCTTGCTAATCAATGGATTTTGGTGGCGTTTTGGACGAAACGATATGTGACGCTAGCACCGCCGACTTTTGGGCACAATGGGATCAAACGACCTGAACTTCCCAAGGTGAAGGACAGATGCCGGTGAGCGCTGAAGTTGACAAATAAACACATGACGACGGTCATGGACGTCATTGCTGAGCTTGGTACGACTTTATGTTAATGTTTGATCGTTTGTGTATGTGATCGCAGTTGCTTTGAATGTCAATATATGTTTCTTCTCATAGACAATTTTGCAGTATTGTGTTTGTGTTGTAGAAGGAACTCATGTTTGTGTCTATGTGTTGAGAGAAAGTATATTTGTTGTAAGTGTCTCCATTTGTGTAGTGTTTGTGTTTGAAATTGTTTTTGTGTGTTGTCAAGTGTACAATGTGTTTGTGTATATGTTGTAATTGTCTCTGTGTGAATGTACTATTGTACGTGTATATGTTGTAATTACCTATATGTCCATATACTAGTGTTTGTGCTTACTGTGACACTCCTATGTTTAATAAAAAGAATTTGTTATAAACTAGCATGTGACACCTGCTAATTGTATGGTGAATATTTTATTAGCTTATGCTTCGAGACAGGGACATTTTAATAATTAAGTGAAACAGATAAAATTTTAATATGTGTGACATCTTAGGCAGATAAATGCCTTTCAATAATAGAAGTGACAATTTTATGATAATTATGAAAGTGACATTGTTGAACTTTTTCCTATTCAAAAGAGTCTATTAATAATATAGAAATTGACCTAAATAGGAGTAAAAACATTTTGAAATTCTAAAATAGGAGTATCATGTTTTTTATTCCTTGAATAGGAGTAATTTGCCAAGTTTGGGAAAAAATGCCATGTTTAGAAGCCTAACAATGCCAAACTTGACAGAAATCTACTCCTATTTAAGGAATAAAAAATATGATAAACCTATTTTGGAATTTCAAAACTTTTTTACTCCTATTTAGTGAATTTACTCTTAATAATATGTATACCCAAATACATTAGACATTACACAAAAATCAAATTGAGGTGACTTCTCAAATCAATATATATTTCCGCACTCAGAGATACATACATGCATAATAATAATAAAATATTGATAATATACAAATGTAATAAGTGCAAAAGTGACATGCGTGGATCTACATGCATGCACTAAAAGCAATACTACCTACTATACATTAATAATGTACTGCAAAAATACAAGAGGTGCGTAGTACTCCGTAATAATTTGGGTAGTTACAATGAACCTTGCCAAACCCACATGCTAGTCGAATGAGGCCAAAGTTACCCAACTCCGAATCCTTAAAACGGAAGAAATACAACATGTAATATACACCCACATGGGATGTCCTATAACTACCGGTTAAATTCGGATAGGAACGTATATATACACATGTATATATATATATATATATATATATATATATATATATATATATGTATGTATGTATGTATGTATGTATGTATGTATGTATGTATGTATGTATGTATGTATGTATATACAAACTGGGATACGCTCAACCTCAAAATTATAACCCCTACCTATCAGTTTAAATACCGGCCCGACCTGCACTCTCAGCTACACCAAAACTGAGCTTAACTAATTAGTTTCCTTCGTGACCTGCTATCCGAGCCGATCAACACACACACACACACGTGTATATTATATATATATATATATATATATATATATATATATACACACACACACACACCCAAAAGTCAACCCAGCGTTACACTAAAAACTGAGCTTCAAAAACACTCTTTAAACCTTCCCTTCGAGAAGAGGAATCCAACGGTGAAAGAAAAATGGAAAACGGTCGTGAAACGAGAGAGATATCGATTGCCGGAGTTTCGTCAGGCTAACCGTAAAGACGAAAAACGGAGAAGAAGGAAGAGCTGCCGCTGCCGCCAATCCATTACCAATCGTCCCCGTCCCAGGAAAAGGCGCTGCCGCTGCCGTTCACGCGTCCGACGAAGGTCAGTCCCCCCTGCGTATCTCGTTCCGTCGAAATGCATGAAGAAGAAGAAGAACAGTGTTCTTCCTTCTTTTCTTTTTTTTTGGCCGTTTGATTAGTTTGGGCCGTCAGCTACATTTTTATTTTGGGCTTTTAAAGTACCGGGCTCACAAAAAATCTATAATAATAACAATAATAATAATAATAATAATAATAATAATAATAATAATAATAATAATAATAATAATAATGTTGATAATAATAATAATAATTTGAAAAATGGATTTATTAGAGATGAGAAATATTAATGATGAAATTGGCTTGATTAATTGATAGTAACCACTTGGATAAATTTGTTAATGGTTAGATGATAAAATGAATTGATGATTAATTACAAAAAAACTGATAATCGAGTATTATATTAAAATGAAAATTTCTTTGGACTTAGTACCACAATTAGATTAAATAAAAAATTGGATAGATATTACTTTCACTAATTATTGGATTAATTGAAGTAGATTAATAAGTTAACGTAATTATGGACTCGAAAATATCAAGTGTTTGAGTAAATTAATAAAATCAGATCAAGTTAATGATGGTTAGTTAATTTAAATAATTTTTATAATATTCGGATTTACTAAATTAAGGAAATTATGAAATTTGAATATTAAATGCAATTCAGATTTTTTTAATATAAGTGTTGATATTAAAGAGATTGTCACGAACTGAGATTAGTTAATTATTTAATACCTTTTATGATCAGACTTGATTAAAATTAATAAAGGATTATTGTATTAATTACCGAATTAGTTTAAATAGCCTAAATAATACTATCGTATGAGATAGTTAGTAAGTACGAACATATTTGTAATAAGCTATAATTGAAGCAATTAGAATGTGTTCATAATCCGTATATCTTAACAATATTAAAATATAGTAAATTAATTGGATGTTTTATAGGTAGAATAAATTAATGGTGATTAATAAATTAAAAAAATTGATTAATCAAATGCATTTCGGTTATTATAATATAATTATAGTGTTCCAATAAAAGAAATCATGGCTAAAGTAATAAAGTGATTTCATTAATAAGAAGTGATTAAGAGAAAATAAACTCGAATAACTAATTATATTAATAAATTCGAATATCAAAGTGAAAGGGAAAAATCGGGTAAATTATTAATAAAATAAGTGACTAATTATATCATCTTAATTAAAAAGGTGAATATTTAGAGACCGGATTTGAGAAAGAGAATTAGGAGCATCAGAACTTAAGGTAAATTTCTCTGCCAATCCAAAATTGTTTCCTCGTATTATATGCTTATTATGCATTATGTGAATTAAGTGCAAATTGTGGATTATGTGTATGTGATTTTTAGGAATGCAGATTAAGAGTACTTTTGGGGTATTAAATATTTTTAAATACCTTTGAGACTATTTAGAGAGATTGAGAAATATTTTTGGAAGTATATCTAAAGTCAAGATAAAATTTACGTTTTCATAAGAGATGAGCACCCAGGAGAAATCCGTGGTGTCGGTTTTCCACATCCAGATAAATGTGGAGGGTGATTTGGGCTGCTACTACTAAGAAGTACACTTTGAGTTTGAAGTGACATTTGAATCTATGATCCCTTTTAAGAAGAAGTTATAGTAGTAGTACTCCCTAATCATTCAAGAATTTTAAAGGTGGGGTAGTTGGTAGACTGAGTCCCGATTACTCGTGACGACTTACTACTCGGAGGGCTTGGAATCCCTTTTAGGGGGTGTGCACACTTAAGGTAGTCGTTTCGTTTCCATTAGCAGTTGTGGTACCAGCAAAAGTCCCGGGGTGGCCGTACATAATAACGTAACCACCGGGCTCAACCAGAGTGTTGAGCACCGCCCTTCTAAATTACTAGAAAGATAGCGAAGAAGTGAATTTTGAGAAATTCTAAGAGGAGTTACTGTAGTATTTTCAAAGAAAAGTTGAGGACTTTAATAAAGAAGCGTTTTTGAAAAAAATCAAAGAGGAGAATTTTGGCGGAGTGTGTTATTTTTATATAGTATTATATGAAAAATTATTTTTCGCCAAACCTGATTATTTTACGGGGTTGGGTAGTACTTACTTAGCTCTAAAGCTAATTTTTGTTTTCTTTTCTTTGTTTTGTTTTCTGCACTTTATTTATGCAGGTGATGATGGCTATGTTGATTGTTGATTGCATGCGCCTGAGAGCGGTTGCTAGATGCCTTAGTAAAACCTAGACATGAATGAACATTTCAGTTACGTTGAACATTTGTTTCTTCATATTACAATTAATTATGATTGTTTTGTTTTAGTTGCCTGTGCATCCGGTTAAGAGATGACCGGATGTCGCGGTAACACCCGTTTCCCTATTTAGATTATTTCCGCTGCAAGATTTTTATCAATTTCGAATGAATAAAGCAAGTTTATTATCAATAAATTATTATTTCAAGTATTATTTTTGGGCGGGAAATTGGGGGTGTTACAAATTGGTATCAGAGACTTTAGTTTTCCGAAGGGATTAGGGCACGGGGTAATAGGTCGTAGGGAGAAATTTTGTCACAAAGACGACAACAGCCTAAGCTGGTTGGTGCATAATTGAGCCTTTGCACTCGTCCAACTAACTGAGAATTTCTCCTTGTGCTGAAACTTCGTTGTTCAAAATCTTTGACGAAAACTATGGTCTCGAAGCGGGGATTTTCAAAATGTTTTCGTAAAAAAAAGGAATGAACATACTAGGAACCTGGCCTTTCTAGGAACGCGGTGAGAGGAAGAACCTTTGCGATACTATTGAATTATGAAATGCATGAGATTCATGCCTCTGTGAAGTATGTGGAATATGTGATACACTGTATGTGCTATCCGTTATAAGAATTTGAAGTTAGTATAGAATTTGTATGATGTAGAAGCCTTATGTATGCCTTAGTACTTAGTGTTGGTTTTCTTTATTAAGAATCATGCCGCCAAGAAGAAACCCCCTTACAACCCCAACCGTTGAGGAGTTGGCCCAAACTATTCAACAAATGGCACGGCATATCGGAGCGGCTCAACCCCAGAACAATGGGATTGACTACGCTACAAGGGTAGCCGAGCGTAACCCCCCGAAATATCTGGGCGAGGAGGACCATCTTATCCTGGAGGACTGGATTCGTACCTTTGACAAACTCTTTGACTCCCCCAACTGCCCGTGGGATCAACGAGTAAATATTGCGGTGTATTACCTACACCAAGAAGTTGACCACTGGTGGGCCGCCAATGGACCAACACTTCTCGAGCAACCGGACTTTTGCTGGGAGGACTTCAAAGTAGCACTACGTGACCACTTCTACCCCGATCACGTAAACGAGGCAAATTATGACGAATTCGTTAATTTCAAGCAAGGTGACCTGACTGTTCAGGAGTACCACACGAAGTTCGTCCAATTGGCTCGTTTCGCCAAAGACCTGGTGTCAACCGAGGGCAGTATGACACGCAGATTTGTTAACGGGCTTAACTACGGTGCCCAAAAGTTTGTGACTGTAGCAGAGCCATGAAATATGAACGAGGCATATAGGAAGGCTGGTAAGTACTACATGGTACACCAGAAGGAGAGGGAGGCACATAAGAGGGATCGAAAGAATGCTGAGGTGGAGCAGCAGCACAAGAAGGCCAGAACTGACCGCCCTGAGCCCCGGCAAAACAATCAAGGCGGGAGAATATTCCAAGGCCAGGGTCAGGGGAGAAACCAGCCTAACCAGACACGGTATTACAAGTGCAAACTCTGTCCAAACAACCACCCTGGAGCAGATTGTGCAGGTAATCCGGTGAAGTGCTACAACTGCAACCTCATGGGGCATAGGGCATATGAGTGCCGGAAGGAGAAGAGGCCCCAAACCCAGGGCCAAAACCAAGGGGTGCACAATCAGGGGAATGGCCAAGCCAGGGGTGGGGGTAACCACATTAACAGTAATCGTGGTAACCCCAGTAACCGTCCAACGGAAGGCAACCGTAACCAGGGTCAGGGAGGGCATAACAATAACCAAGGCCGAATCTATGTCATGAACCAAGTTCAGGCAAATGCCAACGACGTGGTGTCAGGTACATTCCTTGTAAACTCCACATCTGCTCATGTACTGTTTGATTCGGGTGCATCCCACAGTTTTATATCCTCAAAACTTGTGGAAAAGTTAAAGTTAGAACCTACCGCTACACTCAATCTTAATGTAAAAACAACATCTAATAAAGTTGTTGTGTGACACCGTCCCCAAGCATGTTTACTTTTAGTAAATTATGTACTAAACCTTGAAGGATGATTTATGAATTTATGTAATTGTTAAATTTTATTATTTCTTTTACGTGAATAGTAAATTGCATATGGGGCCCACAGCGGGAACGGGGACCGCCCGATAATTCCAGAACCACATATTATATTCATGTTGGTCTAGATGACATCTATATAGTGGTGGATATTTTAGTTGGGCCATGGACAGGGCATGGAGTTGACCGGTTGGTCAAACGAGGCCCAATTACCGGTATTGGTAATTTAGCGGATAACAGCCCGAAGTGAATTTCGGAGACTCCTAAATTAATTTTGGGGAATGTACATCTATTCTAAAGGCCCATAATTATTAGGAACGCGTGATATATTTTAGTTGGCCCGATAAATTAAAATATAATTAAAACAGTCTGAGAAATACAACTTTCGGGGCCGATTGTACACACCGGGACATAATGGGATGACCTCCCACATAAGTGGGGGCCAACCCACGTCTTCATGTGCCCTAGTTGACTAAAGGAAAGCTGGAAGGGACATGAAATGAGGGGTGGGTGCGGACTCATGGGAGGGGGGGTGGCAAGACAAATGCACACCCCATTTGGCCCCATTTTGGCCTCAATAAGTCTTGATTGAATAGGGATACTTCTCCCCTATTCACTTTGCACCACTCGGCCATATCAAGAGAGGATAACCTCTAGGAAGAGCTCTCACAAGGTCCAGGGTAGGAGAAAGGCAAGAGGGAGGAAAACCCAACACAAAAGGAGCTAAGTTGAGGTAAGAATCCAACTACTATGAATTAACTAGTTTATATTGTATGATTTTCAAGAAATCATATGGTGGAGTAAACATGAAGTTCTGCACGTTTAAAAAAGTGTAGAATATTGATATATAGTGGTGGTAATTAACTTAGAAGGGTTGGTGAATCGATAGGAGTCGAAATCACCGAAAACCGCCACATATAGGAAGTTGTTCGTGTTGCAGAAGGACGAACGTCACCCGGCTTTCGTGAAAGCCACCCGGCTTTTGCCCAGCAGTCTAGTTTTCCACTTTCAATCGGCCTAGAACGGGGATTGATCGAGGGGCTTAACAAAGGTAACTATTGTATCACATCACGAGGTGAGGATGACTGACTATATTGCTTATAATTAGTGAATTAATTTCATAAGATTACCTAAGGTATTAAATGTGATTTTCATGGATTATTAATGAATAATAATGCCTAAATGAAAATATTATTGCATGTGAGTAAATAAAGCATGATATACAAATTTAGAAGAAATTGTGTATGATTATGTGATATGAAAGAAATGGCATGATAATGGAATTAACTATGAAAATGTTGCGATAAAATATACTTTTACTTCATGTAAAGAATTCATGAATGGATGAAAGTGATATTTTTGATATTGAGATTAAATCATATTTGGATTGGAAGATCAATTGAGATGAATTATTTGGCTAGGAATCGAGAACTCGGTTGTTCTAAGATTATCCGACTACTATTGAAATACTAGTCGGGAGATCAATATAAATAAATGATGGAATTAATCGTAAGAGATAGGATTGTGAATAGAGATGTCTTAAGTAGTCTTAAGAGATACTTTAGGGTCGAATTGTACGAACACCAAGGGGTAGGCCTAAAGGCTACCCAAGTGAATTGGTTCTAGGCATAGTATTTGCTTGAGAATTGGACTATGAAAATAAATTAGAGTCGGACTCTAGGATTACATGGAAATGTAGTTGGGCCGAGCCTTTGCCATGTAATGTGATTAGCATGAAAACGTAGTTGGGCCGAGCCCTTGCCATGAATTTGTGATCTTCGTGGAAACGTAGTTGGGCCGAGCCCTTGCCACGAAGTTACGGTTGGTTGGTATGGAAACGTAGTTGGGCCGAGCTCTTGCCATACAATTTTGATGCGTTAAATTGAGTTAAAGGATTGTATAGAAATGTAGTTGGGCCGAGCCCTTACTATACAATTGGGGCCCGATAGAACCCTATGGGGTTGTAGTGACTTGTAGTCACGGGGAATTAAAATGGTGAATTCTAAATGAATATTGGCCCACAGGCCGACTACTTGACTTTATATACAGTAAGTATAAATTTTAAAAGGGGTAACTGAGGGTTATGGCCCATAATATATTATCACCCTAGATTGAGGGTCTTAGAAATTGAAATATTGATTATACTTAGTATAGTTGTCATTGTACTTGTCAAATGCTTCCAAGTACTGACCTCCCCTTCACGGGGGAGGCCACCTCACAATTTCAGGTAGAACTTGAAGGTTGCTGCCACCGCCCGTTGCTTCGGGAAGATCAAAGGAAGAAGACGTGGTTCGTGCTTCTTCCGTTTCTGTTTTGAAAACAATATAACCAATGCTCATGGATATTATTTTTGAATAATTATTTGGGGGCTTGTATGCCCATGTTTGCCAAAGTGTGGCATAGACACTTGTATTAAATGCTTCCGCTGTTTTAAATGAATGTTTTACATTATGTTTGTTTATGGATGTACTATGTGTGAATGGTATTCAAGACGCCTTGTATAGTATGGATGAGTTGGACTACGGTTGACTATTCGTACTGTACGGCGGGTTGTTGACGTGTCTGGGTAGGTCTGGGGTGTGACAATTTAATTGGTATCAGAGCCTTAGTCCGTAAACATCATAATGAAGCTTCATAATTCTTTTTGAAAAAAAATGAATTTGAAAACCATGAGCATAAGAAGTTTTGTACTTATAGAACTTTTGGTACTTGAGTTGCAATGTCTCTAATTGTTAAGATGGTACCCTTAACAATTGGTATGGCGGTGATTTGAGCCAAAAGATGTCTTTAAGTGCATATCCGTCATTTTGACACTTGATACGGGTCTAACGACTCATTCTCAATGTCTTTGAGAAATGGAACGTACCGGGAAAGTAACTAGAAGGAACCCGACTGGCCGAGCACCGGGAGGGTCCGTGCAAGGCAGTAGAGGGGCTTCTAGAGTGTCCAGGGGACAAGGCCGTGTGGGCCAAGATCAGACCGTGAGTGACGGTCATGTTGAAACAACGAATGAGTCTTATGAGTCCGAGGAGGATTCAACGTATCAACCAGAAACTGAGCCGGTTGAGACCCCATATGATGGGGAATATGATGATGACGATGATGAGGAGAGCGACGATGATGATGCTCTAGAAAGGATGGAGGAACTACTCCGTTAATATCAACAGGATCGCCAAAGGCGCCGTGCAAGGCGTGCTTTGGGAGGGGCTTCAAGAAGAGGAAGCCATGTGGGTTCTAGGGGACATGTAGAGTCCCGAGTAGATCGGGGTGCCGAGGTCCCAATAATAAGGATCTCGAAGTACCTCAAAGAAGCGAGAGACTTGGGGTGTAAGCCGTTCGATGGAACATGAGATATCTCCGTTGCGGCGGAGTGGATTAAAAGATTCAATGAGGCGGCTATTGATATGAAGCTGCCGCCAAACATGAAGATGAGAGTAGCAACGAGGTTGCTAGAAGGGATGGCGTCCACGTGGTGGGACGGAGTCAAGAGGAAGTATGGCGAGAATGTCACTTGGGAGAATTTTCGGCAGGAATTCTTCAACCAATACTACTTCGACTTCGAGGTGAACTTGAAGAGGAGGGAATACACCAACTTGACCCAAGGAGGCAAGTATACCGTGAGGCAATTTGAGCACAAGTTCAGGGAGCTTGCGGAGTTCATACCGCAGTATGCTTGTGATGAGAACCGGATGGTGAATCACTTTTGGGATGCCTTGGACTTAGACGTGCGTGAGCGGGCAACACAATTGCCTAACATGACGTTTAGTCAAGTGGTGGAGCAAGGCCTGAAGGGAGAGAAAGAATGGGAGGAAAGAAAGCTGAAAAACGTCGAAGAGGCGAAGAAGAGAAAATGGGAGAACACTGGCCCTCAAGGTTCTAGCAAAAAGGGGAACCACGGGGGAGGTGAACCTTTCAGAACACTTGCACCTCCATCCAGGGGAAACCAAGGCCCAGGAGGGCAAGGCTCGAGGTCGCAAGGCTCAGGCATTATAAGGTGCAATAAGTGCAAAAGGAACCACGCAGGGAAGTGTCGTGAGCCCCCAAGATGCTATCAATGCAGGGAAGCGGGACACTTGAGGAGAAATTGCCCACAACTTGGGCGAGCCATGGGTGCAGGACCCAGTAGCGGGACTACGACAAGTAGGAACCGGACAGGAGCACCTCATGGGAGCATGGGACACGGCGGGCCAAGTACAAGCAACGCACCATTCGTGAACCAAGGCAAGGCCCAAGCTAGGGTCTATGCGATGACGGAGGCGGACGCACGTGCTAACCCGGACTCCGTCACAGGTAAATCCTTAAACTCATGTTATTAACTTTATTGTGAGCAATAGGAGTGTTTGAACTTGTAAATTTCTAACCCCGGCGAATTAAGCCGGTTTAGAGGGCAAGAAGGAGCAAGGAATCCTCGCCCTGGGCGAATGCCGCCCGGCATGGACGAAAGCCGCTCGGCCTTCGTCTGGATTTAATTTAAAAATACTACGACGCTCGACGCCGGCCGGCTTTCGTAAATGATTAATCTGAAAAAAAAAGTCTCACAGCTGCAAACCGGCCGGCTTTCATGGAAACCGGCCGGCATTTGTAATAATGATCCGGAATAAACTACGGCGCCAAAACCCGGCCAGCTTTCGTGGAAACCGGCCGGCGTTCGTTGGGCCTTGGAAATCTTGCGCTAATGAAACCCGGTCGGGTTTCGTAGAAACCGGCCGGCTTTTGGGAATTAATGAGGGATTAAACTACGGCATCGAAACCCGACCGGCTTTCGTAGAATTCGGCCGGCTTACGGGTGTCCGACTACTGAGCTGGCATGAACACCGGCCGGCTTTCGCAAAGCCCGACCGGCTTTCACCCGGTGGGGTCTTAGAGTGATTCTAAAGGCTAGAAACCGGGAAATTTTGGTAGGACGACGGACGGTCTCCATCTGAACCGCGACCAACGTACTCTACGACTTAAGAAACACAGTTATTAACTAGATAGCGGGTCTTACATTACTTATGAATGTAGGAACACTAAAGATAAACGAGAGAGACGCAAGAATCCTTATTGACACCGGGGCGCAACGATCATTCGTGAGTGAGGCGTTCGCCAAGGGATTCAATGAACCGCTAGTACCGATGAGTCAAACCTTATTGGTGTCCACACCTCTAGGGGATGATATCGAAAGAGATAGCCACTATCCATCGTGTGAGGTGGAGGTGGAGGGCCAAAACTTGACGTGTGACTTCGTACCGCTGAGTATGATCGAGTTTGATGCAATCCTCGGAATGGATTGGCTTGAGAGACTTCATGCTAGGGTCGATTGCTACACGAAGATCTTTGAACTCGAAAGCGGTGGAGGGTTGACTTTACACTTTGAGGGAGATAGAGGCAAATCAAACAGTTGTATCATATCCACCGTGAGAGCGAGGAATATGATGAGAAAGGGATGCCACGCATATCTAGCATACGTGGTGGATAAAGCCAAAGAAGAGACAGACATCAGTGATGTGAGAGTAGTGTGCAAGTATCCGGATGTCTTCCCAAAAGACTTGCCGGGACTTCCACCCGATAAGGAGATTGAGTTCGTGATCGAGGTTGAACCCGGCACCAAACCAATCTCTATACCGCCATACAGAATGGCACCCGCTGAACTTAATGAGTTGAAAACCCAATTGCAAGAGCTATTGGATAACGGTTTCATAAGGCCGAGTCACTCTCCGTGGGGAGCACCGGTCCTTTTCGTGAAAAAGAAGGATGGGACACTTCGAATGTGCATTGACTACCGTTAACTGAATAAGGTCATGATCAAGAATAGGTATCCTTTACCTAGAATTGATGATTTGTTTGATCAGCTCCGAGGAGCAACGGTGTTTTCAAAGATCGACTTGAGGTCGGGGTACCATCAACTGAAGATATAGGAGGATGACATACCTAAGAGTGCTTTTCGCACGAGGTATGGTCATTTCGAGTTCCTAGTCATGTCGTTTGGGCTAACAAATGCCCCGGTGGCATTTATGGACTTGATGAACCGAGTATTTCATAAATACTTGGACCGGTTTGTGATTGTGTTCATAGATGACATCTTGATTTACTCAAAGAGTGAAGAAGAGCATGAGGAGCACTTGATACTTGTTCTTGAGACACTACGGGAGAAGCAACTCTATGCCAAGTTTTCCAAATGTGAATTTTGGCTAAGGGAGATTGGCTTTCTCGGACATGTGGTTTCGGGATCAGAGATTGCCGTAGATAAAAAGAAGATTGAGGCCATTACGGAATGGGAGAGGCCAAAGAACGTCAAGGAAATTCGTAGTTTCCTTGGATTGGCAGGTTACTACCGAAAATTCGTGGAGAAATTCTCAGTTTTGGCATCGCCATTGACAAAGCTCACTCGAAAAGGGGCCAAGTTTGTATGGGATGACCGATGTGAGAAGGGATTCCTTGAACTGAAGAAGAGATTGACCGAGGCACCGGTACTTACATTACCCAGACAGGGAATGGGGTACGATGTCTATAGTGATGCAAGCATCCAAGGGCTTGAATGTGTATTGATGCAGAATGGGAGGATGATCGCCTATGCTTCACGATAGTTGAAGAAGCATGAGGTAAACTATCCTACTCATGATCTAGAGTTGGGAGCTGTGGTGTTTGCACTGAAGATATGGAGAC